CAGTGCTAGGAGATTCAATGGTTAGGGGAACAGACAGGAGATTCTGTGTCATGAAGGAGACTCCCGGATGGTATGTTGCCTACCGGGTGCCAGGGTCAGGGATGTCGCCGATCGAGTCTACAGGATTCTTGAGGGGGAGGGTGAGCAGCCAGAAGTTGTGGTATACATCAGTACCAATGACATAGCTAGGAAAAGAGATGAGGACCTGAAAAGTGAATATAGGGAGGTAGGTTGGAAGCTAAAAGGCAGGATGAGCAAAGTAGTAATCTCAGGATTAATACCGGTGCTATGAGGCTAGGAATAGAAAGCGAGTGCAGGTGAACATGTGGCTACAGAGCTGGTGTAGGAGGGAGGGTTTCAGATATGTGGATCATTGGGATACCTTCTGGGGAAAGTGGGACCAGTACAGGAAGGACGGGTTGCACCTGAACTAGAGGGGCACCAATATCCTGGGTGGGAGGTTTGCTAGAGTTCTTTGGGAGGGTTTAAACTAGTGTGGCAGGGGGATGGGAACCAGAGCTACAGATCAGAGGATGGGGTAGCTGGTGTACAGGCAGATACAGCATGCAGAGAGTCTGTGAGGAAGGACAGACAGTTGATAGGGCAAAGTTTCAGTCAGTGTGATGGGTTGAAGTGTGTCTATTTTAACGCAAGAAGTGTCAGGAATAATGGTGATGAACTTAGAGCATGGATCAGTACTTGGAGCTACAATGTTGTGGCCATAACGGAGACTTGGATATCACAGGGGCAGGAATGGTTGTTGGATGTTCTGGGGTTTAGATGTTTCAAAAGAAATAGGGAGGGAGGTAAAAGAGGTGGGGGAGTGGCATTGCTAATCAGGGATGGTATCATAGCTGCAGAAAGGGAGGTCGTCAAGGAGGGTTTGTCTACTGAGTCATTATGGGTGGAATCAGAAACAGGAAAGGAGCAGTCACTTTACTGGGAGTTTTCTATAGACCCCCCACTAGCAACAAAGACACTGAGGGACAGATTGGGAGACAGATTTTGGAAAGGTGCAGAAGTAAAGGGGTTGTTGCCATGGATGACTTCAACTTCCCTAATAATGACCGGAAGCTCCTAAGTGCAAATAGTTTGGATGGAGCAGATTTTGTCAGGTGTGTCCAGGAAGCATTTCTGACTCAATATGTACATAGGCCAACTAGAGGGGAGGCCATATTGGATTTGGTGCTTGGCAATAAACTGGGCCAGGTGTCAGATTTCTTGGTGGGAGAGCATTTCGTTGATGGTGATCACAACTCCCTTACCTTTACTATTGTCATGGAGAGGGATAGAAGCAGACAGTATGGGAAAGTATTTAATTGGGGGAGGGGGAATTACAATGCTATTAGGCAGGAACTGCAGAGCATAAATTGGGAACAGATGTTCTCAGGGAAATGCACGATGGAAATGTGGAAGCATTTGCTACAAGTACTGGATAGGTTTGTCCCACTGAGGCAAGGAAAGGATGGTAAGGTGAAGGAACCTTGGATGACAAGACATGTGGAACATCTAGTCAAGAGGAAAAAGGAAGCTTGCTTATGGTTGAGGAAGCAAGGATCCGACAAGGCTCTAGACAGTTACAAGGTAGCCAGGAAGGAACTGAAGAATGGACTAAGGAGAGCTAGAAGGGGCATGAAAAAGCTTTGGCATGTAGGATTAAGGAAAACCCCAAGGCATTCTATACTTATGTGAAGAACAAGAGAATGGCCAGAGTGAGGGTAGGGCCGATCAAGGTTAGTGGAGGGAACTCATGCCTGGAAGTGGAGGAGGTATGGGAAGTCCTTAATGAGACTTTGCTTCAGTATTCACCAGTGAGAGGGACTTTGACGTTTGTGAGGACAGCATGAAACAGGTTGATATGCTTGAACGGATTTGATGTTAGGAAGGAGGATGTGCAAGGAATTTTGAAAAACATGAGGATAGATAAGTCCCCTGGTCCAGACGGGGTATACCCAAGCTTACTACAGGAAGCAAGGGAAGACATTGCTGTGCCTTTGGCAATGATCTTTGCATCCTCACTGTCCACTGGAGTTGTACCAGATGATTGGAAGGTTGCAAATGTTATTCCCTTGTTCAAGAAAGGAAATAGGGATAATCCTGAGAATTACATACTAGTCGGTCTTACTTCTGTGGTGGGAAAATTATTGGAGAGGATTCTGAGAGACAGTATTTATGATTATTTGGAAAAGCACAGTTTGATCAAAAATAGTCAGGATGGCTTTGTGAGGGGCAGGTCATGCCTCACAAGCCTTATTGAATTCTTTGATGATGTGACATAATACATTGATAAAGGTAGAGCAGTGGATGTGGTGTATATGGATTTCAGCAAGGCATTTGATAAGGTTCCCCATGGTAGGCTCATTCAGAAAGCAAGGAGGCATAGGATTCAGGGGAATTTAGCTGTCCAGATACAGAATTAGCTGTGCAATAGAAGACGGAGGGTGGTAGTAGATGGAAAATATTCAGCCTGGAGCTCAGTGACCAGTGGTGTTCCGCAGGGATCTGTTCTGGGACCTCTGGTCTTTGTGATCTTTATAAATGACTTGGATGAGGAAGTGGAAGGGTGGGTTAGTAAGTTTGCCGAAGACACGAAGGTTGGTAGAGTTGTGGATAGTGTGGAGGGCTGTTGTAGGTTGCAATGGGACATTGGCAGGATGTAGAACTGGGCAAAGAAGTGGCAGATGGAATTCAATGAGGAAAAGTGTGAAGTGATTCATTTTGGAAGGTTGAATTTGAATACAGAATTCAGGGTTAATGGCAGGATTCTCGGCAGTGTGGAGGAATAGAGGGATCTTGGCGTCCATGTCCATATATCCCTCAAAGTTGCCACCCAAGTTGATAGGGTTGTTAAGAAGGCGTATGGTGTGTTGGCTTTCATTGGCAGAGGGATTGAATTTAAGAGCCACGAGGTTATGCTGCAGCTCTGTAAAATCCTGGTTAGACCACACTTGGAATACTGTGTTCAGTTCTGGTCGCCTCATTATAGGAAAGATGTGGAAGCTTTAAAGAGTGTGCAGAGGAAATTTACCAGGATGCTGCCTGGACTGGAGGGTGGCTCTTATGAGGAAAGGTTGAGGGAGCTAGAGCTTTTCGCATTGGAACGAAGAAGGATGAAAGGTGACTTGATAGAGGTGGACAAGATAATGAGAGGCATAGATAGAGTGGATAGCCAGAGACTTTTTCCCAGGGTGGAAATAACTATCAGAAGGGGGCATAATTTTAAGGTGATTGGAGGAAGGTATAGGGGAGATGTCAGAGGTAGGTTCTTTACACAGAGAGTGGTGGGTGTGTAGAATTCGCTGCCAGCAGTGGTAGTAGAATCAGATACATTAGAGACATTTAAGCAACTCTTGGACAGGCACATGGATGATAGTAAAATGAAGGGTATGCAGGTTATGTTGATCTTAGAGTAGGGTAATAGGTCGGCACAACATCATGGGCTGAAGGGCGTGTACTGTACTGTACTGTTCTATGTTCTATGTTCCACTCAGTCATCTGAGGGTGGAATCAAACCTGGGTCCCTGGCGCTGTGAGGCAGGAATGCTAACCACTGAGCCATGATGCTGCCCACAGTCACACCATCTTTAGCTTTCACTTGATGTCACAGTTCAGTACTAGAGTAACAAGGAAGTTCCAGAGGAGCATAAGACTGAGCACCGTCCTCCAGAGCTTCTGTTAGACCAGATGGCTGCATTTCCTCTCGTCCTATTACACACAAGGTCACTCCTCCAGGAGCCTTGGCATGGATGTGTGGACTCTCACCCGCCCAAGCCAACTGGTGATCTGCCTCACCTGTGTGTTACGGGCAATCTTCTGGAAGAGAGGGGAAGGAGTGTCAGCAACAGTGTGACATTGTCCCTGGGAGTCTAATGCTGGCAACATTGGGAGATATGAGACAACAAGGTGTAGAGCTGGATGAACACAGCAAGCCAAGCAGTATCATAGGAGCAGAAAGGCTGATATTTCGGGCCTAGACCCTTCATCAGAATATGAGGTAGAGTATGAGTATGAGAATATTAGGCGTGCCAGGGAGTGCTGCTGGCTGAGTGAATGGCACATGGTACACTGAGTGGAGTGAATCATTATTGATGTGATGACCATGAGATGCACCATGAGGATGCATTCACTCACCTTGACTGCCCTAATGAGGTCACTATTTTCTGGTTGTTTCTCGATGGCTTCTTTCCTACCCAAGGAAACACTGTTGCCTTCCTGGAGTCCACCTTGGCAAACAGAGTATTATTGTAGTGGTACTAATCCAGGAGTCTTGTTGTAGCATCCTTGCAGTGTTTTATAATAATTTTCCATTAGCCATGATTTCATATATACTGCCTTCCTTTAACAGACAGGGGCCTTTAAGAGGATCGGGGTGGTCACAGAACAGCACCGTCTGGGCCTTGCTGTATGTACAGGCTGAGGGCAACATGAAGAATAGCCAACTAGCTTGTGAACTGTTTAGCTTCATCCCACCAGCAGTCAAATGAAGCAGTTAGATAAAAATCTGCCCAGCCTGATTTTGAATTGGTGGGAATGCTATGAGTCACAATTCCGACTCAGTGCAGAAGAAACTGTAGCCTGTAGTATTTTCTTAATACATTAGTGAAACATTAACAGAACAGGGAAGTAGCCACTAATAGTAACTAGATGTAAAAGATACCATGTCACCTTGTTTCTTTTTTATTAGGTATTACATAGGGCAAGTGTTGTGAAAAGAGATGCTTCCGTGTATGTCAAAATACTATTAAAGGTACAAAACAGACGCTACTGAAGTTATTTTTACCCACTTAATATTCAGCAGATTGTGTGAAGTTGTTAACGTGCTTGCATACAGGGCAAAACTGACATTTTTAATGCATGCATAAAATACTTTCTGGCTTCCAGTAATCATGTAACTGCTGTATTCTTCCCTTCTTCTAATATCTTAAGCCCCAGATCAAAAAGTGCTGTTAGGTCAAAAGTGCCGTTAGGTCAAAAGTGCCCTCCCCTGCTCTTCTACTTACCACAATTGGATTCATCACTATGGTCCAAACAATCTATTACACCATCACATTCTGCATTGGGTTTGGCAATGCATTTTTTGTTGGCACACTTGTAAGTGTTGGTTGTGCACTTGATGTCTGACAAATACAAAAGCATAGATAAACAGGATTAGTAGCGCTGTGGTTTGAAGATATTGAGTTCTAATAGTGAAATTCAAACAAACAACTTTACTACCGATCAGTAAGGTTCCATTGTTGGCACTGTTAGCCGATAAATGGTTGATGCATTCACATTCCTTTGAGGTTTTATTTGTGGCAGACTCTGTCCATTTAGAACGATTAAGGTATGTACTAAAATATTGAACAAAGCAATGACTGAAAATACATTTGGGGTTCATATGCTAATATTGACATAAATATTTTCTAAAAATTTAAACTACACACCTATAGCCAATGAAACACTTTTAAAGTGTGATCACTATTGCTGGAAACATGACAGCTGACTTTAGTTGGTCAAAGCAGATTGCACCTACCCATTTTTTCACAGTCGTCCTCATCACTGCCATCAGGACAGTCAACATTTCCATCACATAAGGTACTAATGGACAAACAGTTACTCTTCTGGCAGCTGAAGAACCCAGCTGGGCAATCTGGAAGTGGGACAGAAAAGGTGCAATAATTTCTCATGAAATATTTGTAAAACAAGTTGAAGACACTTTAATTGTTACATTAATTTCAAGAGAATGTGACAGAGCATCCAATGCTGAACTTGACATCTTCAATTTGAATCCATTTTGCAAACTTAAATCTGAATTAATAGGCTAATATGTTTCACTGCAATACTGATTTACAGAAGACTGAACCAGAAATTTAATGAGTTATTTCAACTAAACCACCACAACCCATTACCTTATCAACTACTCTGACACCTCTAGATTAATTTGGCAAATATCCCGTTGTGAGGTACTGAACCAAGCCAAGAAAGCTCTGGGATTGGGATTGTACGGGAAAATCTAATTGCAATAGGAACAGTAATAGGAATGCCATGGTTGAGGACTGCATTCCCAAATGAGGAAGGTTAGAAAAAGTCATTGATTTTCCTCCTGATTGCTTCCAAACTGTGTGTACATATATCTGATGAGAAGTGGATTAAGTTGACTCTGTTGCAAACCCCTCCCTTTTACACTTTGAAGGCCTGAATTGCCTGTGAAAAATAGCTATGTGAAGAAAATACAGAAGAAGTGCACTGCTTAAGGAACCGTGCTTATCACTTAGGCAATAACTTCCAAAGAAAATGTTTGAGATACTTTGGAAAAGGCTAAAACTAATTTTATTCTATTCGTTGTTCTATAATTAAAATACAAGTTTCTTACCACAGTTGCTTTCATCACTCATATCTTCACAGTCATCAACTCCATCACAGACCCAGATTAAGGGCTTACACATATTATTATGACACTTAAACTGTTCTGCTGTGCACACTAGAAATAGATCAAATAAAGAAAGAATTAGATGAACACAACATTCAGCAGCAAAACTTTGCTTCTTATGGCTATGTCCTGCAGTGTAGAAAGGAAAACAGCTTCATTATAACTAGTTATCTAGATACTGTTCTACATGGTCAGAGGTGCAGACATATGATTTCTTAATTTTGAACTAGAATTCAACAACCAATTAGATGTTTATTTTTCTTAAAATAAAGGGCCACAGCATACCTCAAATTTGAGAAGGGTCACAATCAAGCATCTGACAAGAGGGTTCATTAAAAAAAATTAGGACATGAAATGAGGAAATTTGACAATGCTGGTGGAAGATTTATTCACAGAAGGAACAGAATAAAAGTAAATGTGTATAAAAACAAAGTTGCTGGAAAAGCTCAGCAAGTCTGGCAGCATCTGTGAAGGAGAAAACAGAGTTAATGTTTCGGGTCCGGTGACCCTTCCTCAGAACTGACCAGGGTGTCCTGGAGGGAACGGTCTCTATCATCAGATGCCATTTCTGCCACCTCCAGCAAGATGCCACCACCAGGCACATATTCCCCTCCCCTCCCTTGCCCGCCTTCCGCAGGGACCGTTCCCTCCGGGACACCCTGGTCCACACTTCCTTCACCCCCAACACCTCCCCACAGCCCAAGGCACCTTCCCCTGTAACCGGCAAATGTGCAACACCTGCCCATTTACCCCCAGTATCCAAGGGCCCAAACATACCTTCCAGGTGAAGCAACACTTCACCTGTACTTCCCAGAATCTAGTCTACTGCATTCGCTGCTCACAATGTGGTCTCCTCTACGTTGGGGAAACGAAACGTAAACTTGGTGACCGCTTTGCAGAACATCTACGTTCTACTTGCAAAAAAGACCCTGAACTACCTGTTGCCTGCCACTTCAAGCACCATCCTGCTCCCTGGCGAACATCTCTTTCTCCGGCTTGCTACAGTGTTCCAGTGAAGCCCAACGCAAGCTGGAGGAACAACACCTCATTTTCCCCTTGGGGACCCTGCAGCCCTCTGGACTCAATATTGAGTTCAATAATTTTAGGGCCTAAACTCTCCCATGTCCCAGCCCCCTACCCTACACACCAGGCCTTTGTTACCACATAGCCTGCCACTACACACCCCCTGTTGTTAGTCACTCACAGCCCCCATTAACAACTATTCACCCTCCCAGCCTGATCATTAGCAACTCCTTTGTCTGTCCAACTGTCTTTCTCTCTCTTTGGGCTCTATCCTAACCTTTACTCCCTTCCCCACCAACCTCCCTATTTTCTGCATATAAACTGACATTTTCCCAGTCACTATCAGTTCTGTGGAAGGGTCACCGGACCCGAAACATTAACTCTGTTTTCTCCTTCACAGATGCTGCCAGACCTGCTGAACTTTTCCAGCAACTTTGTTTTGTTCCTGATTTACAGCATCCGCAGTTCTTTTGGCTTTTAAAAATAAATGTGTAATTTGGAATTGAAAAAAATTGAAAATGGCAAATTCCAGAAGTTAAGTGGTTTGTTCTGGCTATCTGTTGGTATGCCGGACAAGTCAGAATTCAGAATGAAACCGAACTGAATAGGTCATAAGTTAAATTTTTGCAATTGGGTGTTACAGCTGTGGCTTACTCAGTAAACATATTCTGATGAGCTGCCAGTGTTCTTTAACAAAGGTTTACTACACAAAGAGAAAACAAAACAATGTTGAACATATAAGTCGGTTTTAAAAAGTTCTTAATATAAACAGCAAAACAAAGTTGCAAACTGTTGTCCAGCCACATCTTTTATCGATACTGAATTCCAGAGAAATATTATTCCTGTCTCAACTCTTAACTGACTCTTATCATTTATCCCTTTCAGACTGCTGAAACAAATTTAGAACTCTTTTTCACTTCTGCTAACCTGAATCCCATCACATCTTGTGGCCTAAATCTCTTCTCAGTTCGGACAACTGGGAAGCTTCTACATCAATTCTCTCACCAGGGAGACTTCATAAAGTAAAGGCTTCTGATAGGGTGAAAACTGTTCTCCTTGAGTAAAAAGCAGATCCTTTCGCTAAGAGGAATCTCATCTTCTAAACTAAACTCCTGATCTTTCTCGAGTTAAAAGTAAACTAGTGGTCGATGGCTTGTTTTTGCTGTCTAGTATAAAATCAGCAAAGCAAAATTTCCATCAATTAATATCACACGGATTCAGCTTGGCACTTGACTGAATTACATGCTTTCTTGGAAATGATGTATTTAGTTCTGTGTTCCAAATGAATTTCTGAACTCTTAAAACAAAACTACCTTATACCTTTCTGCCTCTTCTACTAACTTGTCTGCAACTTTGGTATGACAATTACATCCTCCTTGTCATTTGTCAAACATCTAACTTGACATCATCAAAAAAATTTCAAGGCTATATTTTCCAAATTTATAGAACATATAGAACATTGAACAGTACAGCATTGGAACAGGTTCTTTGACCCAACATGCCTGTGCTGGCCATGATACCATTCTGGAACTAATCCTATCTGCCTGCACGTTCTATTCTCTGCCTAAATGCCTCTTAAGCGTTGTTATTGTATCTGCTTCTACCTCCTTCCCTGGCAATATGTTCCAGGCATCAACTACCCTCTGCTAAAAAAATTTTCCACACACATCTCCTTTAAATTTCCCCCTCTTGCCTTAAATCTATGACCCCTAGTATTTGATATTTCTACTCTGGGAAACAGACTCCAACTATCCACCCTATCCACACCTCTCATAATTTTATATACTTCTATTATTTCTCAGGTTACCCCTCAGCCTCCAATGCGCTAGCGAAAACAATCCAACTCTCCACATAGCTAATGCACTCCAAACCAGGCAACATCATGGTAAACCTCTTCTGCACCCTCTCCAAAGCTTTCACATTTTTCCTATAGTGCAGCAACTAGAATTGCACACAGTACTCCAAGTGTGGCCAGACCAAAGTCTTACGCAGTTGCGACATGACATGCAAAGTTTTATACTCAGTACCCCAACCAATGAAGGCAAGCATGCCGTGTGCCTTCTGTAGTGATTATGACGAGGTCAGCCGGATAGGACCAGGTTAACAGCCCAATCGGGGAGCCCTGGTTGACAGATACAAACAGGAGTGTCAGAGGTTCTGTCACCCTGAGAGCTGGCTCTGAGGAAGCCGGACCAGGGTCTAGTATTATGCATGTGTAAATAAAGGGTGGCTTGGTGATGGAATATTGGCCTCTGTGTAGTTACTTCACCTTTCATAACACCTTATCCACTTGTGTTTCCACTCAGGGAGCTATGGATTTGGACCCCAAGATCCCTCTGTATATCAATGCTCATAAGGGTCTGGCCAGTATGAATAGAAATAAATAAGTCTATAGGTAACAAAGGCATGAATGTGGGCTTCAGCATCAAATGACCTGAAGCAAGAGAGCAGTCAGATGACATATGACAATGAGAAGTCATAAGTTTTGGTAATAAAATGAATATGTGGTTGGAAGTTCATCAAATACAACACCAAGTTTGTGAGTGATCTCTTTTCAGTATCGAACAGTAGAGAGGAATTAAATCATTGGCTAGGGAATGGAGTTTGTGACAGGGATATAAGGCAGTGACTTTGGTCTTCCTAATATTTAGTTGTGGGATAAAGCCACAAGAAGACCAACAGTATTTTGAATTTCATGAATGAGCAGACATTGCAAAAATAATTGTGTACTTTACAAACTGTTGATTCAATTATGGTACAGTACTATGTGCATGCATGTGTTCCTTATTATAAAAAGGGTACTAATAAAAATAATAGACTCACCAGGATTATTACCAGGCTGAGAAACTGAAGGAAACAGAAAACATGCTGAGAATGTTTTCAGCAGTGAAGAAAGGTTCTAATAGTAGCTTTAACATAGAAAATGAGTTTTGTTTTATATAGATTTATATTAGATATGGAGTGTTAGCGAAAATTGTCAAAGTGATCAGAGAAGTTGGGAGAAATTCCTTTACTCAAAGAATTGTTGGAGCATAGATTACTTCACTACAAGGAACATGGTGCAGAGACCAAAACAAATTTTAAGGGTAAGTTCAAATAAACACTTAAACTAGAGGAAAGGCATAACTATGAGGAGAGTGTGGAAGAGGAGAGTTAGCTACTTTCCAGGCTGATAATATATTCCGTCAAGTGGATGCAGAACTTCAGTTATAAAACTTAGTTCAGCTCTCTCATTTGCTGTGGTGTTTTGGCTTTACAGTGAGTATATTTCGTTGTCAGCAGGTTCCCCATCCCACCAACAAATCTGCGTTCCAGCTAGACAGGGAACACTTTAAAACAGGTTTAACATCCAGGAGTGGAGCCTGCAGCTCCCAGAGAGATCACGGGGCTAGGTTAGGTGATTTGGAGGATCTGATCCTCATTTGCAGACAGGAGTCTGATTCCCAATCACAGAATCAATAGGAGGTATGATTCAAAGGAAGAAGGTAAGCTTGCGAGAGAAAGGGAAAGCACTCATGCTCCTCATGGCCTATAGACTATGGCATAAAGGTGCTTACTTACCCGCTGAAGCTGTCCTTACTTCCCTTGAGCTGCCAGATTTTCCAAGAGATGGAAAACCCAGCCAGACAAAGTTAAACCTGTAAAGCAGGTTAAATACAATACTGCCAACCTTGTTAAATGATTTGCAGATGACACTAAGGTGAGTGATACAACAAAGTGTGCAGAAGACATTGAAAGTCTGCAGAGGGATATAGATAGTCTAAGTGAGTGGGCAAAGGTCTGGCAGATGGAGTACAATGTTGATAAGTGTGAGGTCATCCATTTTGGTAGGAATAACAGCAAAATGGACTATGTTTTAAATGGTAAAAAATTGCAGCACACTGCTGTGCAGAGGGACTTGGGTGTCCTTGTGCATGAATCGCTAAAAGTCGGATTGCAGGTGCAGCAGGTAATTGAAAAGGCAAATGGAATTTTGTCTGCCATTGCTCGCGGGATGGAGTTTAAAAACAGGGAGGCTATGCTGCAGCTGTATAGGGTCCTGGTGAGGCCACACCTGGAGTACTGTGTGCAGTTTTGGTCTCCTTACTTGAGAAGGGATATACTAGCACTGGAAGGGGTGCGGAGGAGATTCACTCAGTTGATTCCAGAGTTGAGAGAGTTGGATTATGAGGAGAGACTGAGTAGACTGGGATTATACTCATTGGAATTCAGAAGAATGAGGGGAGATCTTATAGAAACATATAAGATTATGAAGGGAATAGATAAAGTGGAGGCAGGGAGGTTGTTTCCACTAGCAGGTGAAACTAGGTCTAGAGGGCATCACCTCAAAATAAAGGGAAGCAGATGTAGGACTAAGGTCAGGAGGAACTTCTTCACCCAAAGGGTTGTGAATCTGTGGAATTCCCTGCCCAGTGAAGCGGTTGAAGCTACCTCGCTGAATGTTTTTAAGGCAAGGCTAGATAAATTTTTGAACAGTAAAGGAATTAAGGATTATGGTGAGTGGGCGGGTAAGTGGAGCTGAGTCTCAAAAAGATCAGCCATGATCTTATTAAATGGTGGGGCAGGCTCGAGGGGCCACATGGCCTATTCCTGCTCCTAGTTCTTATGTTCTTATGTTTATGTTCTTATTTCAACAGGCACACGTGTGTTGGCTGTCTGTCTGTGCTCCCATCATCGTTAAACCAGGAAAGAAGCGACGTATAGAATGATAGAACTCCTACAGTGCGGAAGCAGGCCATTCGGCCCATCGAGTCCATACATCTCTCCAAAGAGCATCCCACCCAGACCCGACCTCCCCCCACCCTATCCCTGTAATCCTGCAATTCCCATGGCTAAACCATCAAGCCTACACATCCCTTGATACTATGGGCAATTTAGCATGGCCAATCAACCTAACCTGCACGACTTGGAGTTGGAGATTTTTAAAATTTTTAAACCTCATCTCAGCCCAGCCCACTCATTTTTAGAAACCAAAAGAACTGCGGATGCTGTAAATCAGGAACAAAAACAAAGTTGCTGGAAAAGCTCAGCAGGTTTGGCAGCATCTGTGGAGGAGAAAACAGAGTTAACGTTTAGGGTCCGG